CCCACATATTCCTTCGACTATGAGTCAAGCATTTACTTGCATCTGTATACACACAGGGATTTAAGAAGAAACCGGTTCTTATTCACAATAAACAAGCAGGTTGTGCCACACCTGTTACTCTTGTCACAAACGTTTACAAGGCCCAGCGCCCTCACCTGTCGCTCTCACTGAATCAGCTGCAATTGATGAGGCCTCGTGGACATGAATGTGCTTCCCACCCCCAGGCCCGCCCGCCACACGGCCAGCACATCTCTGTGATCAGACCTCAATCCCAGGACTTTTATCCCCTAAACACACGACAAAGTGTGGGCACAAAGGCGAATTTGTTTTTGGGGGTTTGTGCGTGTGTGTGTATGTGCGTGTGCGTGTGTGTTTTAAATATATACATATATACATTTTTATTGATTTCAGAGAGGAAGGGAGAGGGAGATAGAGAAACATCAATGAGAGAGAATCGTTGACTGGCTGCCACCTGCACACCTCCTACTGGGGATCAAGCCCTGACCAGGAATCGAACCCATGACCTCTTGGTTCATAGATTGACGCTCAACCACTGAGCCACACCGGCTGGGCCAAAGGGTGAATTTGTAATAAGCTTCGTGTGGAAGAGGCCGCAAAGAAAATGCCAGATTCTAATTAAATCGCTGCTAATCTTCCTGGTATTTCATATATATATGTGCATATATATATATATATATATTTTTTAAATTGATTTCAGAGAAGAAGGGAGAGAGAGAGAGAAACATCAATGATGAGAGAGAATCATTGATTGGCTGTCTCTTGCATGCCTCCCACTGGGGATCGAGCCCACAACCGGGACATGTGCCCTGACCAGGAACCAGACCATGACCTCCTCGTTCATAGGTCAACGCTTAACCACTGAGCCACGCTGGCCGGGCCAATGTTTTTTTAAGCCCACAGTGTCAGAGGGGAAGGGGAGCAATCAGGCCAGTCCTGCCGCCTTTCCCTAGAGATCAGAAAGCACCTCTGCCCCAGGGAGAGGTAATGGACTCCTCCCCAGGCCTCTGTGCCCACCTCCCTCCTCCTCCCTCCGCCTTTCTCCTTCCTCCTCCTCCTCCCTCCTCTCCTCCCTCCTTCCCCCTCCTCCCTCCGCCTCCCCAGCCAAGGCCCGCTGCCCTGCCCGCCTCCTTCGCGCGCTGAGCCAGCCTGCCAGCCTTTCTGCCCACACGTCCAGGCAGGATGGAATGAAGCAACCTTCAACCACCGAGCCGTCCGGATCGAATGTGCTTTCACATTGCCGTGCATGTGCGGGGTCTCGCCTTTAGACGAAAAGTGCTCCCTGCTCGGGGTCGTGCTGGAACCACGCTGTCCTCACGGCCCTGGGCCTCTGCTTCCCACCCCTGGGCGGGCAGCGGCCTCGGACCCACCTGGCACAGCACCAGGCTCCTCACAAAGATCTGAGGCGAAAGGATGCTGACCCGGCTCCGAGGGCCAGGGTGTGCGGCCCGCGTCTCCAGGAGGTCTGCTCGGCCTCGCTCCCGAGAACGTCAGCTGCAGACGATGAGCGCTGCTGACTGTCTAGTGTTCGCACCGCTCAGACCCCGGAAGACAGACCCCAGCGGAGTTTTCACCTGAACGTGGAGGGAGGCGGAGAGTGGGAGCAACAGAAGGGCCGCCGCTCCGACTCCCGGCTCACAGCGCGCATCTCATGGGGGTCAGCGCCCAGCCCTGCTTCCCACCCAGTGGGTCTCGTGGTCGTTATGGGACGCTCTGGGGACATAGAGAGAGGAGAGAGAGGGGAGGCGGTCCCGCCGTCTCACACAGGCTGGGGCACCCGCAAGGGAGGACCTGGGAAAGCAGGGGGCGAGCTGCCAAGGGCGGGACTCATTGCAGTGAGGCGCCCCTACGTCAGCCCCGGATGCATCACCCCCACTTCTACCCATGCCTTTCCCGGGCCTTCCCTTCCCTCCTCAGGTGGCGAGAGAACGGCGCTGCTCAGCTCGGCCCACCGGCGGCAGCGGCCCTCCGGGCAGCGGGCACAGCGCCATGGCAGGGCCCCGATGGACGTGCGAGGGGCGTGCTCCGGCCTCTGGGCAGGACTGCGGCCCTCCAAGCCCTCTGCGCGGGGCAGTGCCCGAGTCTCGGAGGGTGAGTCCTGGAGTTGCATTTAGGCCGATGAGTCATTTAATGTGCGACGGACGAACCACACTTTGTTTTCTGGATTTGTTACCCACCTCAACTCCCAGCAGGAGCAGGGGGGCTAGAGCGCCCCCAGAACATGGACATGCCCCGCCTGGTGTCCGGGAGGGTGGCCTGGTGTGTGCCCACTCCCTCCCCGAAGCACAGCACGGCTCACACGCGGGCACTCCCGGCCGGAACCCCGCCTCTTGCGGCCTGACTGCAGACAGGACCCCGGCTTCTAACCACGTGCTTGGGAGCTGGAGGGGCTGTGGCAGCGCAAAGAGCCTCTCCCACGCGGACTGGGAGCCTCCGAGGGGCGTGCGCGCGGCGTGAGTGCAGGTTCGCCGACGGTGCAGTCGGCTCAGCTTTGTGGGTTTACCTTCGTTTAAACAGACGCCTACAGCCGGAGCGAGGAGACGCTGAAATTACAAGGTGAGAGACAACCGCCTCCTTCCCGATTATGCCAACCCTTCCCGCTGCGGGCACAATTCGGGAGCAGCCGTCGCCGCCTCGGCCCTGCTCTGACGGGCCGTCCCTTTTCTACTCCACGGCAGACACGAGTACCGGAGGCCGTGGCAGAGGGAAGCCTGCGACAGGGACCTGTGACCGAATGGGTGATTTTTTTTCTGTTATATTTTTATTGATTTCAGAGAGGAAGGCAGAGGGAGAGAGAGAGAAACATTAACGATGAGAGAGAATCATTGATTGGCTGCCTCCTGCACACCGCCCTCTGGGGATCGAGCCCGCAACCTGGGCACATGCCTTTGGCCAGAATCGAACCAGGACCCTTCAGTCCACAGGCCGGTGCTCTATCCACTGAGCCAAGTCGGCTAGGGCATCCTCTTTCATCACTGATGTTTTTCTCTCTCTCTCTCCCTCTCCCTTCCTCTCTGAAATCAATAAAAATATATATTTTTTAAAAAAGAATAAGGATGTTCCTATCATTCTTTCCCCTCACAAGTGAGTGTTTTGAGGTTCAAAAATAATGGATTGGACCCATATTAATCCATCTGGACAACTGTACACAGCTTTTATTGTCTTGATTCAAATTCAGGTTGGACTGCTTCATCTAAAGCAGCGGTTCTCAACCTGTGGGTCGCGACCTCTTTGGCGATCGAATGACCCTTTCACAGGGGTCGCCCAAGACCATCCTGTATATCAGATATTTACATGACGATTCATAACAGTAGCAACATTACAGTTAGGAAGTAGCAACAAAAATAATTTTATGGTTGGGTCACAACATGAGGAACTGTATTTAAAGGGCCAGAAGGTTGAGAACCACTGGTCTAAAGGGTTTCAGAATGACAGCAATTCTTGGCATAATCTAAGGTTGCAGAGATTGTTAAGTGGCTTTATTTGAAAGAGCTCATATTTTCAAATACATACACACCCATATATGTAGTTGCTACCGAGGCACTGCATTTTCTACTGTGGAGAACAGGTAAAGATTTAAGGTCCATCAACTATAAAGCCCATCGCTTGACTCCCCATTATTCTGATCCGTCTTTTTCATGTTCATTTTTGAAATTCAGGCTACTTGAATTAGTCATGTTTTAGTAGTCCAGTATAATCAAGCACGAGTGAGCACGTGCGCATACACACACACACACACACACACACACACACACACACACACAGGAATGCATATAAAACAGGGGAAATCTGAACACAGTTGGTGGATTGTGTCACTGCTAATTTTCTTGTTGGGATACTGTACTGTGGTATTGAAGACGTTATCATCGGGGAAAGTGGCTGAAGGGCACACGGGATCTCTCGATATTATTTCTTACAACTGCGTGAAAATCTACAATCATCTGTATATATAAAAGGCTAATATGCAAAGTGTCCCCTCAGGAGTTCATCCGGGAGTTTGATCACTCACTATGACATGCACTGACCACCAGGGGGCGGTATGGAACAAAGGAAGGGCCGGCTGGCAGCTGGGGAAGGAAGGCCCTGATTGTTGGCCAGGCTTAGGGACCCTATCCGTGCATGAATTTCGTGCACCGGGCCTCTAGTTTCAAAATACGAAGTTAAAGAAAAGCAAGAAAGAGAACAATATATTAAATTGCCATTTTGCTTTGTGTGTTTGCATCATCTATCTACACACAGCAGACACTCGCCTGCACCCACACACACACACAAGACCCATGTGTTTCCACATACATGCATTTCTGTGGGGACAACTAAGGCATCATCAACACCGATGCCTCCTCAGGAGGAAATCTGAAGAAACACAGAACGCACCTTGACTCTTCATAGGGTACCTCTGTGCCTGCTGCATGGTGTGCTATTGGAGTCGCTCATTCAAAAACCAATATGCTAAGAGCGAGGACAAAATAGACAACTTCAAGCCACATCCAAACAAACAGAAACAAATATATATGTAGCATAGCACGCAGTGCGAGCCCGGGGAGCCTGTAAGAGCCCGATTCGCCCAGCCGGCCGCAGAGAGAGGCAGAGAGAGGACAGGAGAGGAGAGAGAGGCAGGGAGAGGAGAGAGGCAGGGAGGGGAGAGAGGCAGGGAGGGGAGAGAGGCAGGGAGGGGAGAGAGGCAGGGAGGGGAGAGAGGCAGGGAGGGGAGAGAGGCGGGGAGAGAGGCAGGGAGGGGAGAGAGGCAGGGAGAGGAGAGAGGCAGGGAGAGGAGAGAGGCAGGGAGAGGAGAGAGGCAGGGAGGGGAGAGAGGCGGGGAGAGAGGCAGGGAGGGGAGAGAGGCAGGGAGAGGAGAGAGGCAGGGAGAGGAGAGAGGCAGGGAGGGGAGAGAGGCAGGGAGAGGAGAGAGGCAGGGAGAGGAGAGAGGCAGGGAGAGGAGAGAGGCAGGGAGGGGAGAGGCAGGGAGGGGAACAAGCGCTTACGGCTGGAGACGCAATAGGACAGCCGGCAGTTGAGCCTGCGGAAGAGCTGCTTGTCGATGGGCCAGAGCAGGAGCGTGCAGAGCTGCAGGGCGTTGACGAGGAGCCCCGAGGCGATGAACACGTAGCAGAAGACCAGATGGCACAGGAACTGCGACTTCAGCAGCCCCACGAGGTCCATGGCGGAGGCGCCTCCGGACAGCCGGCCCGCGGGGCGTCCTCCCGGAAGGCGAGCAGGGCCGGGCTCTGGAGCGTCTAGAGACAAGCCAGTGGAGACGTCAGGGGCGTTGTATGTGCTTTTCTGTTCTAAGGCGCGTTTTTAGGGGTTCTGAGGAAGGAGGGGAGAGGAACCGGGGAGAGAACCATAATCGATGCACCCCCTCCGGGGAGTGAGCCCGCGGCCCGGCATGTGCCCGGACCAGGAATCGAGCCAGCGACTCCTGGTTCCCGGGTCCATGCGTAGCCGCTGAGCCACACCCGCTGGCGCTGTGTGCTCCAATAGTCAAGGGGAGACAAAAAGAAAAAAAGGCCTCTTAAAAAACAGACTCTGGTGATGAAATGCCTTGTGCGTTAGCTGACTTGTCCTTGTTAGCGTCTTAGTGTGGGCACAGCCGCAGCCTTTCAGAGCCAGAGCCCCTTGAGCTACCCTGACACCCTGAGCGGTGGGCGCGGCTGTCACCTGGGAGGGGACGGAGACCCCGAGAGGCTGAGCCACGTGGCGGGTCCACAGCTCCACTACCGAGCAGTGGCCCAGCCCTGGGCTCCCTGCCCTCAGCCCCGCCAGCTCCCTCACCAGTGGGGCGCTCACAGCCGGGCCCACATCTCTGGGGTCCCCCCAGCTGCCGTCTCTGCCTGAATAACACTCTCCCCACACCCTCACCTCCCAGCTCTCACCTCATGCCCAGCTCTCAGCTCCTCCTGGCAAGACCTCCCTGAGTTCACACCGGCTCTGGGTGAGGTCACGGGGTGACCCTGGGGGCTCCACCTCCCCAGGCCCCTGGACTAGGGTGCAGTGCGCACCCTCCACCCTTCACCCCCAGCCGCTGTCACGCTCCAAGCACACGGTTATCTGGAGGACCAGGGGGTCTCCCCAGCTCTGGGCACACGCTCTCCTCGGAGTCTCAGGTAGGAAGTAAGCTGAGCGCGTGCTCAGCCCCTGGAGAGCTGGCCCTGGGGCCAGCCCCGCCGCTGGGCCCCTCAGAAGCCCTCCCAGCCTCTCTGGAGGTTTGGCATTTCCTTCCCCACAAAGGCAGGCCGCTTAGCCCTTAGCCTGGCAGCCAGGTGCGTTTTGGTGTTGGCGTTCTGGAAGGAAGGCAGAATGACCCCGGCCCAAAACAAACAGGAGGACGTGTCCTCAGCCCTCAGCCCTCACCGCCTCGGGGACCAGCTCTAACTGAGTCGTCCCCGGTTAAAAATCGCCCTCCGCTGGCCTGGCCGGAGCCCGTATGCCACTAGCTGATTCCACGCTTTATGGAGCAGCCGTCTGTCCGACGCCCTGGACAGTACAAGATGCCATCTAAGCAGCCCCACTCCGCACGAGCCTTAAATTACACTCGACTTCTTCATTCTCTCCTCTAGCAACCACCCTGCGTCTCGCTCTAATTTCAGGACGAGGAAAACGGAGGCGTCTGCGTTTCTATGGAGGAGTTGGTTCTGATCAGCGTATAGAGAAAACCCGATTCTAAAGGGCTCTTCTGCCTCATGCAGGGCGACCTCGGAGGAAAACGGACGGACACAGGGACAGCCTGCACCCTTTCCCCGCCGGGAGGAAGCGGGGGGGGGGGGGGGGGGGGGGACTGGACGGGGGGGGGCTCCGAAGGCCGGGGCCGGCTCCCGCATCTACAGGATGGAAAGCGCTAGACACCACGTGATCCGAACAGTCACCATGCGGCCGGATCAGACACGGAGTGATTTACACACCTGACCTCATGACCTGCCCGACCCCACGGGGGGAGGATGGTTACCCATTTCATAGATGGGGAAACTGATGTTCAGACAAGGTCACATGCCAAGGTCAAATGGTGAGTGGACGTCTGGGACCCAAGCTCATCACTCGGCCACTATTACGCTGTTGGTGACACGGACGCCGAGGCCGCCAGGCTTCACGGGGGCTGGGCCTTGGCTTGCCAACTCACGGCCCATTTCTCACTGTCGCCGAGCAACTGTCCTGCTTCCAGGCCCCATCACGCCCTCCTTCAGGGTAGACTGCCCCCTCTCCCAACCCCAGGCCAGCTCTCCCACAGCCCTGGGGTCCCGGGGTCTCGGGGTGCAGAGAGCCGCCTCAGTGTGCACGTCTGCAGTCTCGGGGAGCCCCCCGCTCCTCGTTTCCACCAGCCATGAGCGCATGAACTATTTCCTAAGACGCTCGGTGGGAAGACATGTTTCAGTTACGTTCAAGCGTGGAAGTTTCCCAAAACTTTTCCCAAGTCCTGACACAAACCCACCAGCACGGAACCGGAACCTGACACGCTGCGAGGACAATTCACCTTCCAGGGGGAAGCGCCCACATGTCCGCTGCCGGGAGCGCATCCAGGGAGCGAGACCTTCACGTGCGGGAGGAGACAGGGTGGACGTGAATCAAAATCATTGCTATGATCTCCGTCACCATCACTGTCACGCGGGGCAGTGGCCCTCCGCTCCAACACACCTGTGAAGGTTGGAAACCCATGGAGGTCGCTGTCCCCATAGGTCTATCAGGTGGGGAAGGGGCCTGAGACCGCTTGGGCATATACTGTAGGAGCTCTGGCCTCAGGCAGGCCCCTAACAGCTTCCTCCTTGTCCCAGGAGCCCCTGACAGCCCCTCCTCTGTCCCAACAGCCCCTGACAGCCCCTCCTCTGTCCCAGGAGCCCCTGACAGCCCCTCCTCTGTCCCAGGAGCCCCTGACAGCCCCTCCTCTGTCCCAGGAGCCCCTGACAGCCCCTCCTCTGTCCCAGGAGCCCCTGACAGCCCCTCCTCTGTCCCAGGAGCCCCTGACAGCCCCTCCTCTGTCCCAGGAGCCCCTGACAGCCCCTCCTCTGTCCCAGGAGCCCCTGACAGCCCCTCCTCTGTCCCAGGAGCCCCTGACAGCCCCTCCTCTGTCACAGGAGCCCCTGACAGCCCCTCCTCTGTCACAGGAGCCCCTGACAGCCCCTCCTCTGTCACAGGAGCCCCTGACAGCCCCTCCTCTGTCACAGGAGCCCCTGACAACAGTCCGCCCCCTGGAGGTGGTGGGAGAGTTCAAAGTGGTCAGGGTACCACAGGCCCTGCTGGGCAGATGCTGACCTCTGACCCATGGGCGGGCACATGGCACCCACCCCTGGGGTGCATGCCAGGGACTGGAGCTTGGAGGCAGCACTCCGCCGAGCCCACTGAGCGGGTGGTGCCCGAGGGTCCACTCAGAGCGGCCAATGAGAGGGACACGCAGCGGCCTTTCCTTCTCTCCCATGTCTGCCCCAGCGACTGGGCTCTTCACCCGGCTGGTCCCTCTCCATCCTCCTCCCATTGACCCTGGAGTTCTGAGAGCCTGCTGCTGCCAGCCCCGGCTTCCTGGGAGGATGTGGGGACATTGGGCGATCGATACAGCCAGATTTTAAATCTTTCATTTCTTTGATTTTCATAAAGGGATGCCAATGGGCCCGGGCCATTTCCCCGACTTGATTCATGCCTAATGGACGCGGAGAGAGAGTTATTAGAAAACAAATGCACTTAAATGCTTTCCGGGCATGAATCATTGATGGAGGCCAGGACTGCTGGGGTGAAGCCCAAAATAAGCTGACTTCTAGTACCCTTGTTTCGGGGGGGGGGGGGGCGGGGGGAGCGGACCGCAGACACTGCAGCGCTCGGGGATGAAGGATGCTTCTGGGGTCACGAGGACTGGCTGTTCCTGAAAAGTTTCATAATGACAGCAGTGCTGGGACCAGGCAGGCCCGTGCGCCTGCTTCCCGACTTTAATCCGAGCTCAGGGAGAGGGGCCGGTCTGAGCAGCGAGCCTCGGCTTCTGCAGCAGCCGCAGGGACAGCTATTCTGGGACTCATGCAAGCGCGCATTAATTCACCGTGACTGTATTCATCCATCGCCTGTCCACGAAGCTACCCGGTCGGCCATTCAGTTAAAAATTCATTGGGCCCAGCTGGTGTGGCTCAGTGGTTGAGCATCGACCTAGGAACCAAGTGGCCACGGGTTCAAACAAATCCCGGTCAGGGCACATGCCCGGGTTGCAGGCTCAATCCCAGTCGGGGGTGAACAGGAGGCAGCCGATCAATGATTCCCTCTCATCATTGATGTTTCTTTCTCTCTCTCCCTCTCCTTTCCTCTCTGAAATCAATAAAAAAATATACTTTTTAAAAAGATCCAAACTGCCAAAACTGATTTGGTTCAGTGGATAGAGTGTCGGCCTGCGGACTGAAGGGTCCTGGGTTCGATTCCAGTCAGGGGCATGTACCTTGGTTGCGGGCACATCCCCAGTGGGAGACGTGCAGGAGGCAGCTGATCGATGTTTCTCTCTCATCGATGTTTCTGACTCTCTATCCCTCTCCTTTCCTCTCTGTAAAAAATCAATAAAATATATATAAAAGAAAAAAAAAGATCCAAATCATTAAAAAAATATCCAAAGCATTTGTTTTCTAATAACTCTCTCTCCGCATCCATTAGGCATGAATCAAGTTGGGGAAATGGCCCGGGCCCATTGGCATCCCTTTATGAAAATCAAAGAAATGAAAGATTTAAAATCTGGCCGTATCGATCGCCCAACGTCCCCACACCCTCTCAGGAAGCCGGGGCTGGCAGCAGCAGGCTCTCAGAACTCCAGGGTCAATGGGAGGAGGATGGAGAGGGACCAGCCGGGTGAAGAGCCCAGTCGCTGGGGCAGGCACGGGAGAGAAGGAAAGGCCGCTGTGTGTCCCTCTCATTAAAAATAAAAAAGTCATTGGCTCTTACTGCTACAGCTTGACTCACACCACTGCAGTGGACTTCTGAAAGGGACCCCGGGGATGCTCAGAGCCGCTAGCGATGTGGAGAGCTCCATGGCCCCTGAACCACAGCCCTTCCCGGGAAGTATTTCCAGGCCCCAGAACTCCTCCCACTTCTTCCAAGATAAATCGGTGCTCGATAAATATTGATTCAAGCTGAATCTCTAGATCCCCTGATATATGTCATTTCCACACCAACAACTCTGAGTTGTCAGGAACAGTCTACAGAAGTGACAGCGTGAGCTGACAACATCCGGGGTTTCCTCCCACTACAGTGCGCACGGGGCAGCGGAGGTAACCGTTTCTTC